TACAATGCTCTCTACATGGGGCTTCCCTTGAGGCTGGTCCAGATACTACAGCAGGTCCAGAATGCAGTGGACAGACTGGTGGCTGGAACAATCAGATATGATTGCATCACCCCCGTTCTGGCTCGGCTCCACTGGCTATCCATGGAGTCCCAGATCAAGTTCAAGGTTTTGACTCTCATGTACACCGCCTCCACAGTTTGGGCCTATATTACTTGTTGAATGTCAACTGACCAACCCAACAGGTCACTGCAAATGAGGCTCCTCTGGGTAGCCACCTCAAGGGATACACATAAATCCTCTACAAGAGGTAGGACATTATTTGCGGTGACTCCATCTTTGTGGAATCAGCTCCTATAGAAGCTTTGCCTGGCCTCCTCCATGGCAATACAGTATTTAAGAGGCAATTGAAGACATGGCTCTTCAGAGAGGCCTTCCACTTTGACCAGAGTTGAGTTGAGATACTCTTACATCTCTGAAGGGACATGGTGGCGCTGCGGGTTAAACCGCTGAAGCCTCTATGCTGCAAGGTCAGAAGACTTGCAGTCGTAAGATTGAATCCACACAACGGACTGAGCCCCCGTCGCTTGTCCCAGCTCCCACCAACCTAGCAGTTCAAAAGCATGCAAAATGCAAAAATGCGAGTAGATAAATAGGTACCACCTCGGTGGGAAGGTAAAGGGCGTTTCGTGTCTATCACACTGGCCACGTGACCACGGAGAATTGTCTGTGGACAAACGCTAGGTCTATGGGTTGGAAACGGAGATGAGCACCACCGCCTAGAGTCAGACACGACTGGACAAATTGTCAAGGGGAAACTTTACCTTTTACCTTTACCTTACACCTCTGCCCAGTTATTTGTTATCTGTATCTTTATTATTTTCTGCCTTGTGTAGTTTTACTAACGCTCTGGCACCCTGTTTTTATATGGCTACACTGTCTATGGTGTTATCATATTAATTATTTGATTGTGCATTTTATGTCAACTGCCCAGAGTAATGTTACAACACCAAAGTTGAAAAGCTCGCTTGCTTTAGCTATTAAATTAATAGGGTTTTTTCCTTGTGGCTGGGAATGGTCTTACTCAATGCTAGCAGTGTTTTCATTTCTATGTTCTGACATGTCTCAACCATTCCACTTGTTTTGTCACTATACAACTGTCTGGTATTTAAGAAAAAAATTCTGCAGATATTATGTGCCATCAAGTTACTTCTGATGCGTGGTAACCATATGAGTTAAAAAAAACTTCCAATACATCCTATCAGTAACAGCTCTGCTCAGATCTTTCAAACCAGCAGTATTCTCACGTTAGGCTCTTCACTCTTCCTACTGCTCACACTTCCTAGCAATACTGCATATTTAGCAAGTTCTGCTCAGCTATTGCAAATTGTTGGTTAAGTCTACTTTTATTGACACAGCCTGTCTCTTGTTAGTTCTTAGATTCTTCCTACAAACCCTGCCCCATATGTCCCACCAATAGCTTTTTTCTGCTCAGTTCACTATTCTCATTTTATGTGCGTGGTAGGATAGTTCCATTTATAAAATTTTTGTTCTAGTGAGAGCTCAGGTTTGACTTGCCTGAGCACTCCTTTTCTGGCTAATTTTGGTATTGGTAAGGCACACCTTGAACACCATGTTTCAAATGAGTTGACTTTTGTTCCTGCCTTTCTTTCAGATAGGTTTCCAGTTAACAATCTTTCCTAACTGTAAGCCTCCTTTTTCTTTTTTTTATTTCAAAAGACCAAGAAATAACTATTAGAAAACATGTTCATAGAGCTTTTGGTCCAGTATTTATTTATTTACATGCCATTTCTTTCCCCATTGGGGACCCTACACAGCTCTCAATAAATACAGTGGTGGCTCGCTACACAGCTACCCCGCATGACAGTTTTTCCGCTAGACACTGACTTTTTGTGATCGCTATAGTGATTCGCAAAACAGTGATTCCTATGGAGGAATTTCGCTGGACAATGTTTGGTCCCTGCTTCGGAAACCGATTTTCGCTAGACGATTTTGACAGCTTCCTCCGCGCTCGCAAAACAGGTGTTTTCGGGACCTAAGCTTCACAAGACAGTGATTTAAACAGCTGACCGGCGGCTCGCCAAGCGGCTTTCCTATTGCTGATCTTTGCTAGACAACGACAATTCTTCCCCATTGGAACACATTAAACAGGTTTCAATGCATTCCAATGGGGAAATGCTTTTCGCTAGACAATGATTTCGCTAAACAGCGATTTCAGTGGAACGGATTATCATTGTCTAGTGAGGGACCACTGTAAAACAAAAGATTTAAAACCATATAAATATCATATTTAAAAAACAATTAAACATATATTAAGATTTTTAAAATCCAGTATAAAAACAACTCAAAAACATTTTGAAAACCTGTAAGTTGAAAACCAGAATTGCTGAAATAACTTACTGCTTCAAAACCTGCCTGAAGAGGAAAGATTTTGCCTGCTGAAGGAAGAATAAGCAAAGCAAAGCGTGCTGCTTCTATACCGCCCCATAGTGCTTCAAGCACTCTCTGGGCGGTTTACAAGTTAATTATGCAAGCTACACATTGCCCCCCCCAGCAAGCTGGGTACTCATTTTACCGACCTCAGAAGGATAGATGGCTGAGTCAACCTTGAGCCGGCTACCTGGGATTGAACCCCAGGTCGTGAGCACAGTTTTGGCTGCAGTACAGCCAAGGAGGAGGGGACCGACCTCGCTTCTCAGGTAGTACATTCCAAAGGCTGAGAGCAACCACTGAGAAGGCCCTCTCTCATGTCCTCACCAAAAAAGGATGGGAAGATGGTGGAACCAAGAGAAGGACCTCCTTGCTTCACTTGAGTTTCTCCCTCCAAAGTAGTAGTGATCCAACAGCTATTCATCCAGTTGAGCTCTCTCTTGTACCCATTGCTGTTCAACCAGCCATCTCTCCAAATCTTCTTCCACACAACCGAATCTTGGGGCAGCTATATAAATCCACTGTAATACTGCATCCCTGAGTTTTAATCTATCTTGGGCGCCACCTTCCAGAAATCCATGTAGTTTCAGGTTTTTCCTCCACTGATTTCCCCCCAAATCAATGAATTTTTCATCAATTTTAGTAACCTTATTTTCATATACACATAATTGTCTGGCCTTAGCCTTGGCTATCTTACCAATCTCCTTAACTTCTGTGCCCACCATTTTCACTTTATCTTTAATTTCTGACACTGCTTTATAAATCTCTGCTTTAATTTCTGTCACAGCTTTTCTCCATTATCACATTCAAATCTTTTCTTAAATTTATTATAGTATTTTTCTGCTTTGTTTCCTCCATTTAATTTCCAATATATTTTCTCTATTTTTTAAAAAAAATATCCAAATAATCCAACTTCCTCTTTTGCCATTTTCCTCTTAGGAATCGCTCCAAACATTTCACTCTGAACTAACTATTATCAGAGCAAACACTTCTTCCTTCCAATAACATTGCCCTAGCCTACAAATGATCAATGAGTTCAAAAATTTGAGAGGGTTTTGCTTCCTCCCTGGACTTATATGAGCAGTAAATCTCCAAGCTTCTTTCAGAGACTGCAGATACTTCAGTAGCTTCAACTCTCTGCAGCCCTGATAAACTAAACTCCAAGCACTTTGACATTTGGCAAAGAGGATGAGATTTATCACCCACTCAAATGTTTCCTTCTTCCTGCCTCTTCTTCTTCTGCCTTTTCAGCATTCATACCAACACTGAAAAACTCTCATGGAAGGGAAGAGCTCTTAGCAATTATTTTCACCCTTTACTTAACTGCTGTTAATAAATTTCCTCTTTCAGAATATGAGTAATACTCACAATTTCACAACTACATATATGAGAATATCAATCCTTTTTTGGAGATAGGCAGCCTCCTGGATCAGCTGCTGGGCATCTTCAGAGCAGAAACATAACCCACTGCCCAAACTTACAACATATCATGCCTGCATTGCCAGCAGAAAAAGAATGCCATTTTTTACTTAGTAAAGGGCAGCCTAAATCTTGATAACACCAATGTCAGCCATCAAGATGGTCTACAGCAGTGGTCCCCAACCTTGGGCCTCCAGATGTTCTTGGACTTCAACTCCCAGAAATCCTGGCCAGCAGAGGTGGTGGTGAAGGCTTCTGGGGGTTGTAGTCCAAGAACATCTGGAGGCCCAAGGTTGGGGACCACTGGTCTACAGGATACCTTCTTATACCCACTACCATTCACAAACAGGCTAAGCAAAGGAAGAGTCCAGAATCTGACATCTTTTTTCATCAGTTAACCATTTCTCACTCAAACACAAAGCAACTCTCAGGGCGGTTTTCCAAAAATATCTCCAGACATCTATTGCTTGGGAGCACAAAATAATCAAAATTATAGAAGAAATGTGTCATTCAGATTACATGTGTGCTCTCAAGTACATGTCTATGCAGCTAGAAGGTATTGAACTGTTAATCACTAACGAATTTCCATGACATTGGAGTGCATCTGCCCCAAACAACCCAGTGTATAGCCCTCCCAGCTGTATTGAGAAAGAATGCCCACCTATGTTCCTTCAGGGCTGACATTCTTTTATGCTCAAGAGAGGATCAGAACCCATCCAGATTTTGAGAGAAGGCTAAGAGAAAGGTATGGATACTTGTGGCAAATACATTCTCAGAGCTATACAGTGTAGATCTTTCTTTCCAAAATGATGCTTACTGGGGATTTATTAGAACCTTTGGGAAGGAAGTGAAATGACTTGAATTAGGGAATTTAACTGATTGTCATTTGAACTTTAAAAAATTATGTTAAATTCAACATCACCTTTAAACCTTCTACAAAAACAAGCAGCAGCACAAGCACACATGCCGTAGTGAAGGCCTTTCTTTAATCAAAATTCATACTATCAATAAAATAAGATGGAAGGGTCAGAAGGAGAGAGAAGATTGGTTACTATTCTCAGAGTGCCTAATAATTAATTTTACTGATACTTTCTCTTCCGAAGTACAGTAATAAAATGAAAGATTTTTTTTACCCCAAGATTCCAACTGTTGAGACGAGCTTCAAAGTCACTGTCATCCACAGAAAAAGTCTTTGTACGGTGATCATCCTAGAAAAGTCAGTTTTCAGATAAAACATTGTAAGAGCAAACAGAGAAAACTAAGCATGTAGTGGGGGAGAGGGGGAGAAGAAGAATTTTGACCTGCCACAATGTATTTTTTTCAAAAACTTTGTTGCAAAACATTTCTAGCTTTCATTACAATAGGTTTACATCACAAAAATAAACATTTCATTAATACGTGGGATGTTTAATTCTTCTTGAAGAAAATAATGCCTAATTATGTTGCAGCCCTATGCATCTACATTTGAACTTGCACTCATTTGTTCTCAGAAATTTCTCTCTACTCTCCAGTTTTAAACATTTACTTCTATTGTATAAGTACTCTGCATACGACAAAGTACTTATGTCTCTCCTCCATCACCAACCCACAATTGTTTGTCTAACTAAAATATTTTTATACAGAATAAGAGACATTATCCAGAACACGATCTTTAATTATTAACACGCAACTTGAGAAACAGTATTTGCCAATACATATTTACTAATCAGAGTTTTTAGCAGGGCTATTTTTTTCCTAAATGGCAAAAAACAGAACTACAAAATCCTTTAGGCTGAACTACATATTTATATAATAATTTTACTGCAAAATGGAAAAAATCTCACCAGGGTTTTTGATGAGGAACAGTCTTCTGACAAATGAGGAGGACTCAATGAATGTGACTTCAATGAACGCTTTCCACTGTATGCATATTGCTCCTTGCTGCCACAATGCAGAAAATCAGAATATAAAAACTCCATGAAGTTTTAAGAGCTATTGAACGCCAATCTTCCAATTATAAATATTTTCAACTGAAAAAAACTGCACATTTTTTCCCTAGTTTTTCTGGGTGAAATAAAAATTTTATCAATAGTTTGCTTTTCTTCAAAACTGTCATTAATACTTCTACTTTTCAAACATGAAACTTGTTTAGTTTCAAAGACATTAGATGTACTACAAAAGAGCATTTAGGTAGACATATTTCAGTACTGCATATTTAGTATACTATCCTACACAATCACCTTCCTCTTAAAAACAACTATAATATTGGAGAAGAATCGAAGAAGAAATGTGCAGAAGATTGTAAGTAAACTTCCTATCTAGTTAAATAATAGATGAAAGCCAAAAAGAAACTGTTTAATATTTCATTAATGTTTAATTTTTAAACATTCAATTTTTTCCTAATTCTTACACAAATTATTAAAATGTGTTTTTAAAGTGCATAATATCTTGTTATAGTTTATTCTTATACCACACTGGTACAGAACAATACCAGTTCTAAAAGGCACTTTTAAAAACTTGTTCAGATGGGATTCCTTTTTGACCAAGCAATATGCACTAGTTAGAACTTTAGTGTATATAAAGTTATACATTTTCCTTTTTAACACTGAAACCATATGCATATGTTAAGAATTCACAAATGACGGACTGAAACACACCACCATGTAGTGAGAGACTTCATGGCAGTGCTACCGCTGGCTAGCAAAGACAACTCAGAAACATTAAGATTTAGAGTGAGATCACACAGAGAGTTAAACATTAAAAAACAATTAAATCATACGCTGATTAAAATACAATTGAACAAATTAAAAGCAGTCAACATTAAAAATTATCTTAACTTTAAAAAGGCAATTAGGGTCTCAATCATGATTGTAAAAAGCCTGCTTGAAAAGAGGAAGAAAGATAGACGAAAAGGGACCAGCCTGATCTCCTGAAGGAGAGCATTCCATAACCTGGGCGCAACCACAGAGAAGGTCCTCTCTCGTGTCCCTATCAGCCGTGCCTGTGCTGGCAATATGACCGATAGGAGGGCCTCCTCTGACAATCTTAAATGCTAAGAAGTCTCATTTGGGGTTACTTATAGCACATATGAACCAATTTATGTGTGCTCCCCTAAACATATGTTCTCCACACAGACCTCTTTAATACACTTTGGGAAACATTTGAGACATACAGTACTGCAAAATAAAATAGTCCTTGCTAGTTTTTTCTCCAGTGAACACCAACATTCCCTGGAGTTCAACTATTTTCAATGTAATTGTTATCCAAAGTATGTATTGCTTCTTAGCCCACAAGGTGCCCCAAAGTGAAAGAAATAAACCAACAAAAACCAACACACAAACATGCTTTAAAAACAGATACTCATTTTAAAAAATCAATCGTAAAAGCCAATGATCTTTTTAAAAAGGTCAACACCACCCTAAAAGCCAACTTCAAGATTAGTTTTAAATGCCATGTCCACATAAAATGATGCGGCTTTGGCCATAAGCCGGAAATTCAGTAAGTGCGGAACCTGTTGGACTTTCCTTGGGAAAGAGATCCACAACCAAGATCCTGATACGAAGCAAAGTCTGTGTTGTGTACACTCTACCTATGTCTCTCAGGAGCCTCTCAGAGTTGCTGAGAAAGGCAAAGGTACCCTACATTCTGGCAGGTTTATGTAAAAGGAGAGAGTGTTTCAGATATCCTGAGCTAAAGTCGTTTCGGTCTTTGCAAATTAAAACCACTGCCATAAATTGAGGTCAGAAGAAAATTGAAAGCCAATTGACCTACATAGAGAACATTACATTACTAGTTTTATTAGGAGATAATTAAAGGATAGATCACTACAACCAAATCTACTAGCCCCAGGAGGGGGGAATAACTATCACACCAGCTGAATTCAGCCAAATGCACTCCTGGACAATTTAGCTTTACTGGTTTACTATATACCACTGTAGTGACTTAAAATGGAAAAACAACAGAAGAATTCTGGAAATAAACCAGGAGTGACAAATGTGTAATTCTCTGGATGTTTTCTAGTACTTATTTTTAGGGAGCAAAAAAGAGAGAAGGAAGCATTGTGAGTTGTCACTGATTAAAATCTGGACAACCACAAATTCCCCACCTCTAAAATAAAAGAGCAAACCATCATCTCCTATTTATCCAAGGTATCCTTTCCATCACTGGAGAGGGAACAGCAAAACAGTGTCAGAGAAGCACCGAACAAATGTCAACATGCAGTATAGAAATAATGGCACTATAACTTTAGAGGTGTAAATCATCAATTTTCTCATCTCCGCAGATGAGAAGGAATTATATTTTTAAAGTTTTCTTCACGTTGCAAGCAGCCAAGATCTTTTCTCAAGACACTGACAATGTTTACATCTTGTGCAAACTGCGAATCTCACACAAATCCTGCTGCCTTGTTGCAATGACTTAAGAATCAGAAGCAACTTATGACTTGTTTAAGCCTTTGAGGCTTTTTTTGTTTCATAGCAATCAGCAAATCTTTAAATGACTAGTTAACCAAGGGGATTTTTTAAAGGGATTATTTTATTCACTTGTTTTACTTAAGCTTTTAATGTTGCTCTTATTTAGGAGTTTTAACATATATATTTGATGCTTTTTTAATACTATAATAATTTTTTTTAGCTTTTAACTTTGTTTTAATACTGTAAGCTGCCTTGGATCCTTTAGGTGAACGCAGCATATAAATATTTTAAATAAATGATAATAAATAAATCCTTCTCCACTTGGTGTGTGCCAGTGCTCCTGTCTGTGTTTCAAGGCTGGGCTGGAGCAGGAAGGCACACCAGAGGAGTCCTGTGGACCTGGAGATGCAATCCTTGACCTCAAGCGTTTCCTCAACAGATCTCTCACAGGCTCAGCCCACACCGATGTCATCTTGGAGCGACTGCACAGGCGGAACCAGGATGGCCAGCATCAGGCCTCCGTACCAGAAGGGAGTAACCAAATGGCAGTCTTGGAAAGGGAGTCAGGAACCTCTTGCCCTGATGGCCCTGCAAAGGCAGGGAGCCATGGACAGGCAGGTGGCATCAGGCTGTAGCAGTACTACAGGCTGCAGTACGAATCTTTGGAGCCAGTTAGATAGTGAGTCTCTGCTATGGCTTTAAAGAGTTGGGGAGTGGCATGCTAAATGGAACGCTGAGAAGGAGGCTCCGGTCCTAACTGGGAGACTGCAAGGGAGTTGGTGAGAAAGATTGTTGGCCCAAATGTTTCTCTTCCAATATAGATTCCAAGCAGACAAGTTCTCCAGGGTCCTTATTAAGGGGCCTCGAGGACTGTAGAGGCATTGGTTGCTCCACAGGGGCTGGCTGGTTGATAGGAGGTTTTCTATTGTCTTGGATTTCTTTGCAAACTGACGGGTTCAATCTGAGGAGGCCTTTTGTTTCCTTGATGCCAATGGCTTCAGTGCTGAAGTGAACTCCAGAGCTGGTTACCACACAGAGGTAGCATCTGTCAGACTTGAAGGAGGCTCTGGTTGCTTTGCCAACTCTGCTTTAACTTCTTCCATGATGGTAGTTTTGGAAAGGAATTTGCAGCCCGGGCAAGGAGGTGAACGTGGCAGCAAGTGAGTTGGGCGGATTGCTTGCAGTGATTTTTCCAAGAAATCTAAAAGCAGCTGAGATCGGCAATTTTTAAGGGCTGCTTGAGTGAATCAGCAGCAGTGAAGGCAGCAATGAGTGGGGTGTGCCTGACCTAAGCAATAGGTCACCTGAAAGCACTACTTTATTCACACAGATGACGCAGCATTTGAAAGACCAAGAGGGGGTGATGAAAACAGGGCAAGGCTGCTGCAAACAGTCCAAGGCTTCAGGGAGTGGGTGTACTAATAAGGAAAGGTTTTGTGTGGGGTTTGTTTGTTTGTTTTTAATCTCACAAAAGAAGAAAGTTGGATATGCTAAAGTAAGCACGAGAGAAACAGAGAAACTGTTGAGGTTGCCAAGGTCACTAAAAGGTAAAGGTAAAGGTTCCCTTTGACAACTTGTCCAGTCTTGTCCGACTCTACACGGCTGTGCTCATCTCCATTTCCAACCCACAGAGCTAGCGTTTGTCCGAAGACAATCTTCCATGGTCACGTGGCCAGCATGACTAGACATAGAACGCCCGTTACCTTCCCACCGTGGTAGTACCTATTTATCTACTCGCATTTTGCATGCTTTCAAACCGCTAGGTTGGTGGGATCATTAAGTAGCGGCTAAAAGGAACTAAGGGGACACCACTGGATAACAATGCCATTGTGGTATTGTATATACTCCTACATATGTGTGCGTTCACGGAGACCACAAAGAAGAAATCCATGTACTGTACCTTAATCCTTGTATAGTATATGAAAACTAAGTTTTTCTGTCAGAGCTAATGAATTCTACCTTTTTATGGAAATAGCCTTGCATTGGAAAGGTTCTTGTAACCAATCTGGCAGCCAAACAATGGTTAAAAATTAAGTGCTTAGGAAGAAGTGATTTAATGGCTGGAATCCTACAGGTGTTTGTGTAAGTTATGTGCTGTATGACTTGACAAAATACTAGGTCACATCTCAATTTTGTAGCTGGACTGCCCGGCAAGTTGCCTATTAACCTGAATTAGCCAGAGCAAGTATGACAAATATTACATGAACACCAGCATGATTCTGGTAATTATCTCTCGAAAATAGAGACAATAAACCTAACAATGGGAAAAATTCTGTATCTTGCTTATATTCTTCTATCTCTGCAAAAAAAAATAGTCAAAAACTTTATATGCAAATACAGCCCCACCACATTTGTACATACAGTATGTTCCTTGTTCTGTTGGTATCTCCGACATGAATATTACTTGATATAAAACACAGCTTAACTGGGATGTAGCGCCAACAGTATGTTGTCTTTACAGTGCTCATTTATCTTAGCTAAACTGAGCATACTGGAATCATAGTCTGTATCTACTTCCATACAGAGTCA